TGAAATTAGAGTTGCTAATGAATCAAAGACTAATCCAAAGGGGTTCTTTCAAGTGTATAGGACGAAGGTGAAGGAAAAAGTAGGACCTCTGAAATCTGGGAATGGACAGCTGACGGATAATGAACTGGAAATGTGTTCCTTATTTAATGACTATTTTTTGTCAGTTTTTACACAGGAAGATGTAAATGAGATTCCAGTAATTAACAATTATTTAGTTCCTGATGAATTCAAGTTAACTAATATTACTGTCACGAGGGACATGGTTATTAAGCGGATAGACAAACTGAAACAAAATAAGTCCCCAGGACCCGATGAGTTGTTTTCAAGGGTACTTAAGGAATGCAAGATGGAGCTTAGTCAGCCATTAACGAGTGTATTCAATGCGTCCATCCTTACCAGTGTTGTGCCAGAGATGTGGAAGATGGCTAATGTGGTTCCTATATTCAAATCAGGGGATAAGTCCACTCCTTCAAATTACCGTCCAATAAGCCTGACATCTATAGTGGGCAAGTTATTAGAATCAATTATAGCTGACATTATCAGAAGTCACCTTGAAGAGCATAACTTGATAAATGAATCTCAGCATGGATTCACGAGAGGTCGTTCCTGCCTGACAAACTTATTGACGTTCTTCAATAGAACATTTGAGGCAGTTGACAGTGATAAGGAATATGATATTGTTTATCTGGATTTTAGTAAAGCCTTCGACAGAGTACCTCACAAGAGACTCTTGAGAAAAGTGGCAGCTCATGGTATAGGAGGTAAAGTTCTAGCATGGATTGAGGCATGGCTTACCAATAGAAAGCAGAGAGTTACCATTAATGGAGTGAAATCTGAATGGGGATTAGTCACTAGTGGCGTTCCACAAGGATCAGTTTTGGGCCCTCTCTTGTTCATAATTTACATTAATGACCTAGATGAAGGGATTACTAGTGACATGAGTAAGTTTGCTGATGATACAAAGATAGGCCGTATAATTCACTCTGAGGAGGATATCAATGAACTCCAGGACGATTTGAACAAACTAATGTCTTGGTCTGAGAAATGGCAGATGAAGTTTAATGTGGATAAGTGTTTGCCCTTGGTAATGAAAATAACCCTCGAAGCTATAATCTAGGTGAAGTAGAGCTTGGTCATACAGAATGTGAAAAAGACTTGGGAGTCATGGTAAGCAGAAATCTAAAGCCAAGACAGCAGTGCCTCAGTGTGCGCAACAAGGCCAACAGATTACTTGGATTTATCTCAAGAAGTATAAGTAACAGAAGTCCAAAAGTTATTTTACAGCTCTATACATCACTAGTGAGGCCTCATTTAGATTATGCTGCTCAGTTTTGGTCCCCTTACTACAGGATGGACATAGACTCATTAGAGAACATACAGAGAAGAATGACTAAAATGATTTACTGTGTAAGGAACCTCCCGTATGAAGATAGACTTAAAGCCTTAAATCTCCACTCTCTGGAGAGGCGTAGAATGAGGGGAGATATCATTGAAGTGTATAAGTGGATAACGGGCATAAACAAGGGAGACATTAATAAAGTACTGAGGGTGTCGAACCAGGTAAGAACCAGGAATAATGGATTTAAGTTGGATAAATTTAGATTTAGAAAGGACATAGGTAAGTACTGGTTTTCTAACAGAGTTGTAGATGTGTGGAACAGTCTTCCCAGTGGGGTGATAGAGGCTAGGACCTTGGGTAGCTTTAAGAAGAGACTGGACAAATATATGAGTGAGAGGGGCTGGGTTTGATTGGTGTTGGGAGGTGCGGGGGTTGTTTCTTGAGTAGCTTTAGGTAGATGTCGTTTTGATAAGGACCTGCCTCGTATGGGCCAGTAGGCCTTCTGCAGTGTTCCTACATTCTTATGTTCTTATGTTATCACAGCAGACATGAGGCTTCTCCACTCCATCACAGCAGACATGGGGCTTGTCCATACCATCACAGCAGACACTGAGCCTTGTCCAAACCATCACAGCAGACACTGATTCTTCTCCACACCATCACAGCAGACATTGAGGCTTGTCAATACCATCACGACAGACACTGAGGCTTGTCAATACCATCACAGCAGATACTGAGACTTCTCCACACAATCACAGCAGACATTGAGGCTTCTCCACATCATCCCAGCAGACACTGAGGCCTCTCCACACCACAGCAGACACTGAGGCTTCTCCACACCATCACAGCAGACACTGAGGCTTCTCCACACCACAGCAGACATGAGGCTTGTCCATACCATCACAGCAGACACTGAGGCTTGTCCAAACCCCGAAATGTCACTCGTCAGTCCATGAAAGCCAATGGTACGTATACTGCAAGGCACATCATGTGAAGGGGACAAGAAGACACCGACCAACTAGACTATGGGAAACAAAAGAAAGGAGCCGTAACCTCTCCTCTCCAGAGAAAGTGGTTTTTTAGTGCCAGGAAGAAAAAAATACTGGTAAGAAATAACAAAAATGTTATAGATTGAGACACTTATGCAGCATATGGAAATCTTTATTCAGGAAACGTTTCGCCACACAGTGGCTTCATCAGTCCAATACAAAGAGGAAGGCGTAAGGAGAGGAGGAGAATGAGGTAATCAGTCCCTCAACCTGATGGACTGAACACATCGACTCCAGGTTGAGGGACTGATTACCTCATTCTCCTTCCTCTCCTTACGCCTTCCTCTTTGTATTGGACTGATGAAAGCCACTGTGTGGCGAAACGTTTCCTGAATAAAGATTTCCATATGCTGCATAAGTGTCTCAATCTTCAACTTGTCGGTTTTCAAACCATTCATCACAATGTTATACCACACTTGGTATAGTTATACCAACACTTGGTTTTAGTTATCCCAACACTTGGTATAGTTATACCAACACTTGGTATAGTTATACCAACACTTGGTATAGTTATCCAACACTTGGTATAGTTATACCAACACTTGGTATAGTTATACCACACTATGGTATAGTTATACCAACACTTGGTATGTTATACCAACTTTCAGTGGGTGTTAACAACACTTGGGTTAAGTAAATATAGAGAACTTATTGGTATGCGTTTTCCCAACACTTGGTATAGTTATAAACACTTGGTATAGCCTATACCAACACTTTGGTATAGTATACCAACACTTGGGTTAGCTTAACACCAAAACACTGGGAATACCCTTTACCAACACTTTATAGCAACATGACTTGGTCATAGCATACCAACATTTGGTTAGCAATATACCAACACTTGGTATGTCTAACCAACACCATTGGTTGTCATATACCAACACTGGATAGCATCCCAACACAGGTATGCTATACGAGCACTTGTACATATACGCAACACTTGGCTTCTCACTATCCAACACTTGGTATAGGCTATCCAACCATAGGAATAGCTTTCCAACACTAATGGTTGTAGTTATACCAACACATTGGTGAAAGTTATCACCAACCAACTATGGTATTTTAACAACATTGGTACTATTCCTACCCAAAAATCTTGTCAGTTAAGAACACTTGGTATAGTATACCAAGGTACATCGGTGGAAGGTTGGAGGAAGGAGTAGAGGTTTATGTGGAGAAGGACCTGGACTTCCAGCAAGATGCATAGGGTTTTTGGAGGGAGTAAAAAATTGATGACAAAATGGTTTTAATAATTGGCGTGCTATTGGAGTTTTAGCAAATACATTTATGAAGGGATTCAAGTGAAACAAGACCGGACTGGTCCTGGAGATGGAAAGTGTAACAGTGTCCATGCACTGCACTATGTAAGGAGGGTGTTAATGCTTGCAATGTTATAACACTGGTAGTATAGCGCACTCTGACAAGATAGCACATTGGTGAAAAGTTTTCTTTTTCCACCTGCTTAGTGATCAACTTGCGATGGTTAATAAAAAATAAACAACAGGAAATACCATGGTAGCATAGCCCCAGTTGGATAGTGATACCCGGTATAGTAAACCAACATTTTAAAGTTATACCAATTCTAAGATACAAACACTTGGTATAGCTTAGCAAATTGGTTATATATACCAACACTGTATAAAAACTGGTAGAATCAACCTTGGAGGCTAACAACACTTGGTGTAAGTTGGTTTAAAAGGTTGTTTACCAGAACATTAGGAGTTAACGATTGGCGGCACACACCCCTCTCTGGGGTATGGGCCAAACATAAGTTTCCTGGTGTTCCGACACTTGTTAAAGCTTACAAACTCTGGTAATATTACCTTACCTGGTGTTAGTTATCCAATTGGAAGTTATACCACCCACTTTCTCCTAAATCACGTTGGTATCTATACCAGAGTATTACTGTTTGTTCCTCTCTAGTGTTTAGTTTACCAGAATGATTTGGATTTATCATCTTTTACTTTCTAAAGTGGTATAGTTATCATGGGACGATGGCTAGAAAGGGTTTTATTTTCTTTAAATTTGGTCAGCTACTGTGTCCTTGGCGTGGTTTCAGGATGAGCCAGTAAATGGGAAGACGTAATGTTAATAATACTTATCATTATTTACAACTACGGGCCTTACATTCTATGAAGGTTTCCCCCAAGTGGTAAGATTCAGAACATCGGATTACCATTGCAAGGAAACCTACATAAATAACATCAGAGGAACTTCTAGGGCCATATAACTATCAGCCACTCACAATGAACTGAATGGGCCATTTTTTTTTTTGGGATATTTAAATTTTTAAGTAAAAAATCTCAAAAACATATTTGGTTTTCCTAAAACATTACTTTATTATTTAATTTTCCAATTATTTCTATGTTAGTAGAGGCGTTCACTGACACACTGATGTTAGTAGTCTTTGTAGATAGTGGGGAGTCCGAAAAAATGCGCTAGTAGGGGAAAAAATATCCCTGAAATGTGTTACTCGTCAGTCCATGGAAAACAATGATACAACACATACTAGACAAGAAGATACAGATCACTCGGACCATGGGTAAAAGACAAATAACATAAATATCTATCATTTATATTTATTTATAGATAATATAAACTTTTAACATTGACTTAAGACTAACACTATTTACTGTAGAGGACAGACTGTTTGAGTGATCATCTGAGTGCGAGTGCTGGTAACGGTGCTATACTCAGGAACATATAAAGTGCTTGTAACTGGAATGGTATCTTCCACAGTCAAGAACATTTCCACCGTAAGTTCCTGTGTCCACGTCACCGTAGATGTTTGGGTTTGAAAAACAGTGTGAATGGCATCAGATAAAAGCGTTTCATAATTTGTTGTTGCTAGAAGCAAAGTTTGTTTTGCTTCAACAGTATTGAAGACAGTATAGTGGTTGGTGTTGATAACGGTAGCAAAGTTCACAAGAGTTGTGGTGAGAGAAAGGGTGGTGCTCAGAATGCGAGACACTGGAATAGCCACAGTGGTCGTTATCACGTACGTCTCTGTCACCTGTAAAAAATGTAAGTAGTTAATATTAATTCATATTTGCTGTGTATGGAAATATAAATATATAGTATATTCAAAGATGCTGAATGACTAATATAAATATAATTATGTACCTGCAATTTGCTGATTTCAGATCTTATAGGGAAGAGGCTTGAAGTGGTATAAGGGACTGTGCTTGTTAAGGGCACTGCAGATAGCTTGTATACTGGTGCTCTAAGCGCTTCTTTTACTATATGAATATCCTGGAGTTGTACAGTTGTCTGGGAGAACTGAGGCACCTGGGAAACATCACACTTGCGTAACTTTTTGAAGAAGAATCCTGCAGCAGGATGCTGAAAGATCAACACGATGAGCAGGACAAACACAGATGCCATGTTATTGCTAGGCTAAGACAGTGATGAGGAGTAAGACGATGATGTTCACAGCCTTGTTGACTTCTGACTGATTATAAAAGTTACCATCACGCCTTTATATAGTGCCACTCTCAGGAGGTACAAGAAGTAGTAGTAGTAGTAGCAGTGGTGGTAGTAGTAGTAGTAGTAGTAGTAACAATTATGGTTGTAGTAAGGCCGTAAGAATAGAGAAGCATTGCATTAGGCCTATAGGCCCATAGCAGGCAGGTCCTTCTGAGACAACCCCTCTTACAAAAAAATTCTCTAAGGAATAAGTTTTGACTATCTTCACAACCTCATGCTTACGTGTCTTTCTAAACCACAACCTCATGTTGCCCAGGTCCCACTCACATCCATCCCATCTTACTCATGTATTTATTCAATCTATTCTTGAAGTTACCTGAGACACATTCTTTAACTCACAAGAAAGGAGGAACACTGCAGCGGGCCTACTGGCTCATACTTCGCAAGTCCTCAAACCCGTACGCACTAACAAATAAGAACATAAGATTAGAGGAACACTGCAGAAGGCCTACTGGCAAGGCAGGTCCTTATCAAAACGACCTCTACCTATTGCTTCCCAAGAAATAACTCCAATACCCAGTGACACCAATCAAACCCAGCCCCACACACTCATAAGAACATAAGAACATAAGAAAGGAGGAACACTGCAGCAGGCCTGTTGGCCCATACTAGGCAGGTCCTTTACAATTCATCCCACTAACAAACATTTGCCCCCCCCCCAATTTTCAATGCTACCCAAGAAATAAGCTCTGATGTGCAAGTCCCACTCAAATCCAACCCCTCCCACTCATGTACTTATCCAACCTAAATTTGAAACTACCCAAAGTCCTAGCCTCAATTACCCAACTAGGTAGACTGTTCCACTCATCAACTACCCTATTTCCAAACCAATACTTGCCTATGTCCTTTCTAAATCTAACTTATCTAATTTAAATCCATTACTGCGGGTTCTCTCTTGGAGAGATATCCTCAAGACCTTGTTAATATCCCCCTATATTAATACCTATCTTCCACTTATACACTTCGATCAGGTCTCTCCCCTCATTCTTCGTCTAACAGTGAATGTAACTTAAGGTCTTCAATCTTTCTTCAATAAGGAATATTTCTATATGCTACTGTATTAATTTAGTGCATCCTACGCTGAATGTTTTCTAACGAATTTATGTCCATTCTGTAATATGGAGACCAGAATTGAGCTGCATAATTCTAGGTGAGGCCTTACTATGATGTATAAAGCTGCAGTATGACCTCTGGACTTCTGTTGCTTACGTCTTGATATAAATCCCAGTAATCTATTTGCCTTATTACGTACGCTTAGGCATTGCTGTCTTGGTTTAGGTTGTCGCTTACCATAACCCCCAAGTCCTTTTCGCAATCTGTATGGTTAAGTTCTACATTATTTAACTTATAAGTGCTAGGGTTATGGACACTCCGAGCTTCAGAACCTTGCATTTATCTACATTGAACTGCATCTGCCACTTTTCTGACCAAGAGTAGAGTTTGTCTAAATCCTCCTGAAGTCCCTAACATCTACGTTTGAATCAATTATCCTACTATCTTCGTGTCATCGGCGAATTTGCTCATATCACTAGTAATTCCTTCATCAAGATCATTGATATATATTATTAACAACAAGGGCCCAAGGACTGATCCCTGTGGAACGCCACTTGTTACTGATCCCCACTCGATTTAACCCCATTTATGGACACTCTTTGCTTCCTGTCTGTGAGCCATGATTCGATCCACGAGAGCACCCTTCCCCCAATGCCATGAGCTGCTACTTTCTTCAACAGTCTTGGTGCGGAACTCTATCAAATGCCTTACTAAATCTAAGTAAATAATATCAAATTCTTTATCGTGGTCAACAGCCTCAAAAGCTTTACTGAAGAAAGTTAATAAATTAGTTAGACAAGACGGCCTCTTGTGAATCCATGCTGAGTATCATTAATCAAGCTATGCTATATCGAGATGGCTTCTTATAATCTCAGCTATAATTGACTCTAGTAATTTGCCTACAATTGAGGTCAGGCTTATTGGGCGGTAATTTGACGGTAACGACTTGTCCCCTGTTTTAAAAATAGGAATTACATTAGCCATCTTCCACATATCAGACACTGCACCTGTTTGAAGAGATAAATTAAAAATATTAGTTAATGGTTCACAGACTTCCATTTTGCATTCCTTTAGAACCCTTGAAAAAACCTCATCAGGACCCGGTGACTTATTTTGCTTCAGTCTGTCTATCTGCTTCACAACCATTTCACTAGTGACTGTGATGTTACATAATTTATCTTCTTCTGATCCACTATAAAAATTAATTACCGGAATATTATTAGTGTCTTCCTGTGTAAAAACCGAGAGAAAATAATTATTTAAAATCGAGCACATTCATTCTCTTTGTCAGTAAGATGCCCATAGTTATTTTTAAGGGGACCTATCTTATCTCTGACTTTGTTCTATAGACTGGAAAAAACTTTTTGGGTTAGTTTTAGAATTCCTAGCAACTTTAATTTCATAGTCCCTTTTAGCTTTTCTTATCCCCTTTTTAATGTCCCTCTTAATGTCAATATACTGATTTATAAGATGACTCCTCGCCTCTTTTGATACGCCTATAAATTCCTTTATGTCCTAGTAGATATTTCAGCCTATTATTCATCCATTTTGGGTCATTTCTATTTGATCTAATTTCCTTATAAGGGATAAACGTTCTTTGAGCAGCATGTATTGTGTTCAGAAAACTGTCATATTGATAGCTCTCTTCGTTAACCCAGTCAACAGATGATAAGTGTTCTCTAAGCCCATCGTAATCTGCTAAGCGAAAATCTGGGACTGTTACTGAGTTTATCCCTACTATCATACCTCCATTCAATTCTACTTGTAATTGATTTGTGGTCGCTAGCACCCAGTTCCTCTGAGACTTCTAAATTATTAACAAGGGATTCATTGTTTGCCAGAACTAAGTCAAGCAGGTTATTACCCTTGTAGGTTCTGTCACAAACTGCTTCAAAAACAATCCTGAACTACTTCTAAGAAATCGTATGATTCTAATTCCCAGTCAAGAAATTCCAATCAATATGACTAAAGTTAAAGTCTCCTAGAATTACTACATTATCGTGCCTTGTGGCCCTAACAATTTCCTCCCATAGTAGTCTCCCCTGGTCCCTATCTAAATTTGGGGGACGGTATATCACACCTAAAATTAATTTTTCATGCCCCTCTGAAAATTCTATCCAAACAGACTCTGTATGTGTTACTTCAGACTTAATACCCGTTTTTATGCACAGTTCAAGCGATCTCGGACATACAATGCCACCCCACCCCCCTTCCCGATTTCTTCTATCTACTTGGAACAATTTAAAACCCTGAATGTGACATTCTGCAGGCATGTCCCGACTTTTTGAATTAAACCACGTCTCAGTAATGGCAAATACATCTATGTTACCTGCACTAGCAACTAGTCTCAGCTCGTCCATCTTATTCCTAGCACTGCGACTATTTGTGTAATAAATATTTAATGACCCTCCTATCCTTTACCCTTCCTGCTCCTTTCTGTTATTCCACTAAACCTATTACTGTCATTGTCAATTAGTGCCACTGGCTTTCCAATATCCTCCTCATTTTGCCTATTACTAGTTCTCCTAGTACTCATGTTTACTACCCTGCGACTTCACAGTTTTCCCCAAAAACCCATACCACTAACTATTCCTAGTTTAAAGACCTAACAGCTCCCTCCACTGTGTTGGCCAGTGCTCCCACCCCACACCTAGACAAGTGAACCCCATCCCTGGCATACATTCATTTCTGCCATAGAAGAGGTCCCAGTTGTCAATGAATGTTACCGCATTTTCCTTACAGTATTTGTCCAGCCAGCAATTGACACCAATTGCCCTGGACAACCATTCATTTCCAACTCCTCTCCTTGGCAAAATGCCAATATGACAGGTTTCCCACCCTTCTTCCTAATTATCTCTATTGCTGACCTGTACCTGCTAATCAGGTCCTCACTCCTACGTCTGCCAACATCGTTGCCTCCAGCACTGAGACAGATAATAGGATTGCTCCTATTCCCTTCATGATGTCATCCAGACGGCTAACAATATCCTTCATCCCAGCCCCAAGAAAACAGACTCTCTGCCTCCTACTCCTATCCTTCAAACAGAATGCCCTATCCATGTACCTAATCTGGCTATCCCCAACAACAACAATGTTTTTACCTTCCTTGGCGTCGTCCGTAGTGATGCTCCGAGTAGTCGACTCACATTCGCCAGGTAGCATTACACCACTTGTAGAATTCGTCATGACGTTCTCGATGGTCTTCGTTGGGGTTTCTAGGGATGTCTCACTCACGTCTGCCAATGCAGACGTGAGTGAGACATCTATCACCTAACTGGGAAGAACATAAGAAAGGAGGAACACTGCAGTAGGCCTGTCGGCCCGTACTAGGCAAGTCTTTTACAATCCATCCCACTAACAAAACATTTACCCAACCAAATTTTCAAAACTACCCAAGAAATAAGCTCTGATAATAAATTAGACACATGTGCAACTCTTGGGTATGGAAATATAAACACATATGCAGTATAATGTGATCCTTTATTGACTACGTTTCGCCCACACAGTGGGCTTTTTCAAGTCACAAACAGAACTACCTGGGGTGTAAGGAACGCGAGTATTTATAGTCAGGTTCAGAATGCTGAGGTCAGGTGGAGAATGCTGCATCTGATGATGTACCGAGTGGGGTCTGACGACACAAGGAATGCCTGCGTACAACACCGTAATTCACACAACCACTTGATAAACTACAGAAACCCAAGACTTATCGCCACAGAAGACAACACTCAATACCGAAGAATCCTGGAATCATCACTTATTTCTATGTCCGACAACTTCAACCAGAATAGTGGATTCTACAACATAGCTGAACCACTTGCTAAGAAACTTCTTCATCGCTATCCCACATGAGAACACTGTGGGGGGTCTGCTCACAAACTTATTCAATCTACTTTCCAAGCTACCCAAGATTTTAGACTCTATAACCCCACTCGGTACATCATCAGATGCGTTTGTAGATGAATGGTTCAGAGAACCGACATGTTGATAAATTAGACACATGTGCAACTCTTGGGTATCTTTATTGAGGAAACGTTTCGCCACACAGTGGCTTCATCAGTCCATACAAAGGAGAATCTTGAAGAACAGGAGGAGAATGAGGTAATCAGTCCTCAACCTTGAGTCGATGTGGTCAGTCCATCAATCTTGAATGCACATGTGTCTAATTTATCATCATCAGATGCAGCATTCTCCACCTGACCCCAGCATTCTGAACCTGATAAAATACTCGCGTTCCTTCCACCCCAGGTAGTTCATGTTTGTGAAATTTAAGACATTTGTGCAACATCTGGATATCTTTATGGTAGTAGACGTTTCGCCATCCAGTGGTTTATCAATTCAGATTCTAGGACTATAGGAACACAGTAAACTATATACAAAAGATGAGGTATCAGTCCCTCGGCTTGGATTAGTGTTCACAGCATCGTGGTGGAAGAGAGTTGGAGCAAAGGCAGAAGATCTGGCGCTTTTTTAGGCGTCAGTGAATGGGACGGGCAGCATACGAGGGCTTCACTGGTAGGCGGGATTCCCCAGTGGAAGTAGGTCCTTCCCAAAGAGATGGGTAGTTGCAGCAAGCCGTGAAGAAAGCCCTTGTAGATGTCCTCTGAACCAAGATTCCATG